GTGCCCCGGCGGGGCCGGCCAATGGGCGCTCTGCGTTCGGCAAGATCGCCATATATGGCCATGTTCTGGGCCGCGCGCGCCGCCGCTCCGCGCGCGCACCCCGCGTCCGCTTAAATAGCGGCGGGGGAGGCCGCGGTCGGTCTCAGTCTTCGCTGCTGGTCCGTGCAGTTTTTCGTCTGTTCTTTCTGCTCGCTGCTGCCTCCCGGCCTCTCCGGTAAGGGCCCGGTCTGCGCGCCCCGGTCCCGCGCCGCCGTCTCCGCGGTCTCTCGGCGCCTGTCCCGGTCCCGGCGGCGCTCTCTGCCGGCCGCTGTAGCCCGTAGAGGCGACCCTTTGTTCCCGGGGTGGCCGGGCCCGGGGGCTGCGCCCGGGGGAGGGGCGGCGGGCCGCACTGCGGAGCCCCTGGCCGCCGCGTCCCGAGGGGGGGTAGTTAGTGACATAAAGGCCTGGAAGCTGGGTTGCGGCAGTTAGTGGCCGGCCGCTCTTTCTGGGGCGGGCCGGGCGCTTTGGGGGCAGCCGAGCGTCGCGCAGGGCAGAGCGTCTTTGAGTGCGAGGGCCCGCCTGAGTCAGTTACGTCTCTAAATAGATCGCCATGGAAGAAGACATCGCCGCGCTGGTCATTGACAATGGCTCTGGCATGTGCAAAGCTGGCTTTGCTGGCGACGACGCCCCCCGCGCCGTCTTCCCCTCAATCGTCGGCCGCCCCCGACACCAGGTGAGTAGCGGGGGCTGTCTTCTCCGCGGGATCCAGGCGCTCTGAGCCTTTGGGAGCTGACCTGGCCGGCCTCTTGCAGGGCGTCATGGTGGGCATGGGACAGAAGGACAGCTACGTGGGAGACGAGGCCCAGAGCAAGAGAGGCATCCTGACCCTCAAATACCCGATTGAGCACGGTATTGTCACCAACTGGGACGACATGGAGAAGATCTGGCACCACACTTTCTATAACGAGCTGCGTGTGGCCCCCGAGGAGCACCCTGTGTTGCTGACGGAGGCGCCCCTGAATCCCAAGGCCAACAGGGAGAAGATGACCCAGGTGACTGTCGGGCTCCAGCACTGGATTCATTCTTGCTGTCTCTTAAACCGTTTTCTGCTCGACTGTGTTTATTTCTTAAAATTCAAGTGTTTCTTTCACTATTTCTAGGGTTCTGTTCTTCTGGCATTTCCTCCCTGAAGCCTCCAGGTTTCTTGTGTGTGTTTTGCCTGCCTCCCTCTCCTTTCTCCACTCATCACGTTGGTGGCATGTGGCATGTAGTGTGTGTGTAGCACGGGGCGCCGGCAGTCCCTGTCTCCGACTAACGCCCTGCCTCCCCCACAGATCATGTTTGAGACCTTCAACACGCCAGCCATGTATGTTGCCATCCAGGCTGTGCTGTCTCTGTATGCCTCTGGCCGTACCACCGGTATTGTCATGGACTCTGGCGACGGTGTCACCCACACTGTCCCCATCTACGAGGGCTACGCCCTGCCCCACGCCATCTTGCGTCTGGACCTGGCAGGCCGTGACCTGACCGACTACCTCATGAAGATCCTGACAGAGCGGGGCTACAGCTTCACCACCACGGCTGAGCGTGAGATCGTGCGTGACATCAAGGAGAAGCTGTGTTACGTGGCCCTCGATTTTGAGCAGGAGATGGCGACTGCTGCATCCTCCTCTTCTCTGGAGAAGAGCTACGAGCTGCCGGACGGCCAGGTGATCACCATTGGCAACGAGCGCTTCCGGTGTCCCGAGGCCCTCTTCCAGCCCTCCTTCCTAGGTAGGTGGCCAGCGCCTGGGCTTTGAGGCTCTTCACCTGGAGCACCCTGAAGGGACTGAGCAGTGTGGGCCTTTGATCACTAAGGTAGAACCTTGTCTCTTAGGTATGGAGTCTTGCGGCATCCACGAGACCACCTTCAACTCCATCATGAAGTGCGACGTGGACATCCGAAAGGACCTGTATGCCAACACGGTGCTGTCCGGCGGGACCACCATGTATCCAGGCATCGCCGACAGGATGCAGAAGGAGATCACAGCGCTGGCGCCCAGCACGATGAAGATCAAGGTGGGTGCCGGGGGGCTGTGACCCGGGCCTGGGGCAGGCAGGCTCCGGTGTGCTGCTAACGCCCCTCTTCTGGCCTTTGCAGATCATTGCTCCCCCCGAACGCAAGTACTCTGTCTGGATCGGTGGCTCCATCCTGGCCTCGCTGTCCACCTTCCAGCAGATGTGGATCAGTAAGCAGGAGTACGACGAGTCGGGCCCTTCCATTGTTCACCGCAAATGCTTCTAGACAGACTGCCAGCAGGTGCCACCCCTGCCGCATGAGCCTGTCCCGAGTGCAGGTTGCGCACCTCCAAGCCTCATGCTAGCCTCGTGAAACTGGAAGAAGCCTTTGAAAGAAATTGTCCTTGAAGCCTGTATCTCAACATCAGCACTGGTTCATAGAACTTGTTGCTGATCTTGACTTTGTGTTCAAGTTAACTGTTCCCTTGGTTTGTGTTTAATACCCTGTACATATCTTTGATTTAAACCCCCAGTACGTGTGACCTGGTCACTCCGTCGCCGAGGTGTGAGGGATGACATGGTGTGGCCAAGTCCGTCTGCTTCACCGACCTCACGGTCTGTGCAGGGTATTAATGCAAAGAGCTGATGGTTACAGAATTTCCCAGAGGCTGGCAAGAGTCCTGAAGCAGTTGTCATTTCTGTCTTGCCAGCCTGACAGGGTTGGAAAAAATCTGAGCCTTAGGACCCAGTTTCCTTTCTTAGCTGATGTATTCCCGCTGGAACACTGTGGGTTGTTACTTGCCTTGAGTTGGATTTAAGTCTGTTACTTGCCTTGAGTTGGATTTAAGTCTGTTACTTGCCTTGAGTTGCATTTAAATCTGTAAATTTATTCATCCTTCTAATTTATGTAAGGTTTTTGTACACATTTCTCAACTCTGAGATAACAAATTTTGGTTTTTCTACTGTCATGTGCGAACATTAGGCCCCAGCAACGCGGCGGTGTGTTAAGGAGAAATAAAGTGCTGCAGTGAACGGCGACTGGCTCCTGTCCTGGGTGGGGGAG